AGGTCGGCTCCTAGCCATATCAGCAAGTGTGTCCAACCAAACGTGTTCATCGTCTTTCGGACCCCAACCAGGGAGCCGTGACGCTCCAACCGACGAAAGCTCAGAAGTGAGGACCTTCATTCCTCTGGGCCAAGTCACCGCTTGGCCACCCCACCTCTTCTTCCATCCACACCCCCGGCGAGCAAATAACGCACGTCGCGGGAGTCGGTGGGCTGGCATGCGTAACACGTGGCCGAGCCATCGGAGCCTCGTGCGGTTCAGTTCCTTTTCCTGTGCCATAAACAAGGCGTCGAACACGTTCGTTGCTCACGCGGTGTTCCCACCAGATGTGAGCTAAATTACGAAGGCACCGGTGGTCGAACGTAACTAGCCTCTTCAGGTCCGCTGCTTTAAGCGGCCAGGTTTCACAACCGTACAGTAGGGTCGAACGTAATGCTTCATTGTACACTCTACCCTTCAGGGCAAGAGTGATGTCGCGCAGGCGCCATAAGTGGCGAAGGTTAGCAAAAGCGCCCGAGCTTTTGCTATACAGTTCGTGATCTCATCTTCAATCCCACGGGCGCTGATACAACTTCCCAGGTAGTTGAATTTTTGAACGACTTCCAGCTGATTCCCACCAAGGGTCAGCGTAGGGGGCGGTCCAGACCAATCTTGGAGGAACGCTTTGCACTTCGAGGGTGCGAAGCAAAGTCCGAAGTGACGGACAGCAAGTACTAATCTGTCCAGTGCCACTTGGCACATTTGTGAGCTGTCACAGATTAGGGCAATATCATCAGCATACTCTAAGTCAAGAAGTCGTTCTCCTGGGAGTAGCTCCACACCTTCTGAATCGTGTTCTGTGAACGCGATTTCCATGACTTCGTCAACAGCGAAGTTGAAGAGGAAAGGTGACATCGGGCAGCCTTGTCTCACGCCGCTGGAGATACTAAAGGGCGACGACAACTTGCCGTAAGCCCTCACTCTGCCCGAGCTACGAGCATATAATGATAGGATAATATTCACATATTTCTCGGGCGCACCTCTCCTGAAGTAGACAGTCCCAAAGTGCATGTCTATCCACAGAATCGAATGCACCTTCGGTATGCAGGAACACGACAATGGTGGGCCGCCAATATATGTGAGGGTGCTCCAACAACTGACGCAAGGTGAAGATGTGGTCAATGCAGCCACGACCTCGACGAAATCCAGCTTGCTCTTCACGAATCTGGCTTTCACGAGTGCCAGTCAGTCTGTGAAGCATGACAGAGGCAAGCAATTTGGAGGCGATGGAGATCAGACTGATTCCTCTATGGCTGCCGCATTTCGACCGTGAGCCTCCTTTGAAAATTGGGACTATGACGGAGTGGCTCCAATCGGTTGGGACAGTTTCCTGCTCCCACAGTTTCACTAGTAACTCGTGTATATCATCCATAAGGGTAGGTCCCCCGAATTTGAAGAGGGCTGGAGGAAGATCATCAGGTCCTGCGGCTTTATTTAACTTCAACAGTTTGATCTCACGTTCGACTTCTGAGCGAGAGGGTGGATCCAAAGGAACAGCCCAGGGAGTGGGGCGATCAATGGCCGGCGAGAAATCTAACCATTCCGACCGATTAAATTGCTTGCCAAAGTGCTCAGCCCAACGCTCTAAGCGTTTTGATAAGTTGTGGATAGGCTGTCCACTCTCGTCACGTATAGTTTCACTAACACCAGGTCTCCTGCTGCCGGTTTCCCGTATCAGACGGAATAACTTACGATGGTTACCAAGGGCAGCGGCCATTTTCATCTCTGTTGCACGATTAGACCACCAGGATTCGCGGTCTCTCCTCAGGCTAGCACGAAGTTTTGCCCGGAGCTCTTTGCGAGTTTCATTGTATTCGCTTCCAGCCGGAATATGCCGGCGAGCATCGATAAGTTCCAGAGACTGTGAAGAAACCCAATGTCCATGTTGGCGATTAGACACACCACATGAGGATTTTCCTGCTGCTAGTCAGGCTTGGTGAATATGAGACCATTGAGCTTCAATTGCATCCAGTGAGCGTTTATCCAACTCGGATGACAGCGTACTTTGATAGGCATTCGGAACAGCTGGCTTCGCCAGTTGGCTGGTGTCAATGCGCTAATAACGTCGTCGTGGGCGTCCGCCAAAACGCATGCACAGGTCAGCACATACAAGTGCATGGTCGGTGTCCACACATGTGCTCCAAATCGAGCGACAGTTCTGGACGCAGCCTCTCCATCGGTAACTTATCGCAATGTGATCGATTTGCGTCCATAGTTGGTTCGAGGCTGGTGGGCGCCAAGTCACCCTTCGGCGGGTGCTGTGTCTGAAATTAGTGCTCGCAAGAAATAAGCGAGCATCCTCACACAAATGAAGTAACCGCTCACCGTTATCATTACGGGAGCCTATACCATGTTGGCCGCCCAGATGCAGTTCATCTGTGGATAATTTTCCAACTTGAGCGTTCAGATCCCCGGCCAGCACTACAGTGTCCGAGCTTCTTCTGTAGCTAAGGAGCTCGTTCAGTTGACGATAGAAGTCGTCTTTTACCTAGTCATCGTTACAGTTTGTCGGTGCATAGGCAGCGATAACAAATAGACACCTGTTAGTCCCACGTGACTTCGAAGCTTTGAACGAGCCAGCCAATCGGACCGCACACATCCGGCTACTGACTGGATTCCAATCAACCAGAGTAGCTTCAGCCCGGGGACTCAGGGCAATACCAACACCGGCTTGGCCGGTGCTCGAAGCTGCATCGTCAACGGATAGGCGCAATGAGAAAGTGCTCCTGATGTCACCTGAAGGGGATGGCAAAGTGAGCATGGAGCTCGAGTCTTGCAGGCGGGTCTCCGATAAGCAGCAGATATCAATCGATAGGGTCTCTAATGTTCGAGCAAGTGCAGCCTGTTGACCGATCTGAAGCAATGTGCGAACATTAAGGCATGCCAATCTAAAGGAGGGCTCCAAATGGAAGCGGATGAACTGGAATGGGCCGCTTGCTTGGACATGGGTCTGTTGACAGGGCAGGAATGACGCTCCGCGTTCACATGTGAGTTGAAACTAAAAGGCAAGCGACTATTGAAGCAAGATGGGGGAGGGCCGAAAATTGGGGGGTTGAAAACAGGGGGGATAAAAGTGAAACTGGTACGGGACGATAAGGGTGAAAAAGCGCAAGAGGGGGAATAAGAAGACGGGAAGGCTTGAGCAGTAGCATCCAAACCCCTATCCACCCTGCTCAATGCAGCAGATAGGGCACCGTTGATTATCTTCTGCGGTGGCCAGAGCATCAGAAATTTGTTTGAGGTGCGATTCATTGTATTGCGTGGGCAGGATACTGTCAGGTTGCCCAGGCCTAGACAGGAGAACGATTAGGTTTCTCAACCAAAGCCTTTGGTTCAAAAACCTGACCGCAAGGCAGCGGGTTTGGCGTTGGGCTACAAGGAGTCCGTTTTAAGGAATAAGGAGCCACCCTCATTCCAACCCCCAACCTGGAGGATCAGGAGGCTGAGTTTGTCTGGCCTCTAACCATTGACCAATCTGGTATGAGTGGCTCTGAAGGTGCAAAAATGCACCACCCAGTATAGCTCAATGGATCACAGAGGCACACAAACCATCGCACGAGGGTAAGGTCCAGCCTCATTGCGATGGCGGGTTTACACTGCGTACAGTATGTGTGGATGGAGCTGTGGGTGGTGCAGTGAAAGCCACTCATAGTCCGTCTGTAGATGCAGGCGTCCTGTGGCTGTCCCCGTGGAGGAGGCCGCAGTGACAGATAAGTGCGGAACCGGACGCTGACAACCATATATAAATATATATATATATATATATATATATATATATATATATATATATATATATATATATATATATATATATATATATATATATATCGTTGTTAGCACATTACCCAGTCACTTTCAGGGACACGTGTTATGACAGCGTACAGTGATAGATGTGGGAGCTTTCCATCCGTAATGCGCCAAATGAACTGACTTTGACCTGCAACGCTCTTAGATACATCCCGGTCATTGCAGTTCGCTATGCCAATCACCCGCTAGTGTACTTGATCGGATGAAACTGGTGTCAAAAGTAAAAGTACTTACAAACGCTTCGAAATTCATTAATTTTTGATGCGTTCCAAGAATATTTCAAAATATTAATTGTTGGAGCCTGTCACAGATGTGAACGAAACGATGAGAACTAGCAGATGAATGAAGCATGATGAGTGATCGAATGTTTAGATCAAACAGACTAGGTGTCCTAAAGGAAAGCACAGACTAAACTAACATCGGAATGCTACCAAAGTGTGTGTTGAACCGAAACACACCCTCGATAACCCGTCACACAACCATGATAGAATCAAAGAACGGTGAAGAAATTTGTGCATGTGGACGAAATAGGAAGCCCGCATCGAGGGGGGGAACAGCAGAATCGAGCAAAATGGAAGTCACTTAAATTAAACTATCTGTCTTCAATTGGAGCGAACCATGGGGAAACGAACGAAGCAGACAAAGGTGAGCTGGGAAGTAATCGATGTTTGGGAACCATGGAGAGAGAGAACGGAAAATCTCTCTATGATCCTGAGAGCAGATGTGTGAAATGAAAAGTAGAAGGTACACTAAGAAGAGAATACAAATGACAATATCAACGTAAGGTACGGATTACGTATGGTTCGATCGCGTCAGAATGTCACACTCTAGCATTCTGTGCTGATGCACCGTTACCAAGCATCCGCGGGCTAGGGCACTGCATGAGCGCCCAAACCTATGTGAGGAAGGAGAAATCGAACTCAGGGCGTAGCGGTCACAGGTTAAACGCATGGGCCACCACAGCACGGATCCCCCAACCTCGTGCGGAGTTGCGCAACATCGTACAGGTGGGGAGTTGTATGTATATCAAAGAGCAAACAAGCTATAGGAGAGCCACAAGCAAAAAATCTAGCATGTCCCAACAAAGCAAGAAGGCTTTTGAAGACGAATATCTAGGAAGCCTGGATGAAAAAAGACAACGTGACGTATCCAACCTGTCGCATTTTGTGCCGCTCAATTTGGATATGACGTTGAAAATGCCGTCGAAACTTCTTCCCATCCACATCAATCAACTCTGAATCGTCTATCGTACCCACCTTGACCTCGGCATGATAAGTGGGTTGGGAAGAAGCCGCGTGGCTCAGCTGGCCGTCCGGGAAGTGGAAGGAGAGGGGTGTGGTGCAGGTGGAAAGCAAGGGCTCAGTTGTGGAGGGTAAGGGATTAGAAAGCTGTTCAGGGATAGAGAAAGAGAATGAACACGGAACGACTAGCAGCAGTGTCAGCAGTGAGAGAGCTAGGAGCAGCGGACAATGGTTGATTGATTGTTTGGCTAGTTGACAAGAAAGCAAAAGCACACACAGGCAGTAGTGCAAATGAAGACGTGCAAAGCAGATATTCTAAAGAGTTAGTGGCATGTTGGCAGTTATGTGTGGTGCACAAACAGCGTATTCGTAAGCAGTTTCAAGCGTACTATGCGGATAAACGTGAGGCTTCCTGCTCAGAACAACTGGCAACTAGAGGTGGCGATGGAGGTAGTCTTCGCTACCCATGCACACCACCCCTGGGGCCTAGTTCGATTACAGAGAAGACCTTGTAGACGATGGCGATAACACACATGAGAATGCTAAAACATGGAAGATGCATATTATGAACACAGAATAGAACATCTTACAACCTTAAACCATCTTAACCGTGATATTCAAGAGATGGAACCCAAAGGCATACTTAACGATCAGGTAAATCAGTAACCAGATCATCCACAAATGCAACAGGTTGATTGTACCGTTCGTCTGTAAGCAGCAACATTTTACAGTTTAACATTTGTGCGATGCAGCACCAAAGTGCATGGTGTTTCTACAACACGTACAGCCAGTGAGAAAGAGAAGCAGGTGATCCAAGTATCATAGCAACCACTACATGTATGACTATGACTGCTGTTATTCGATCGGAACAGAAGCCAGAATCTGAGCTCTCGTCTGTTGTGTTGCTACCGTCCAGGACACAAGGGGTTACGATTACACGTAAAAAAATTTGGGTTGATAAATCGAACTGAAACAAAACCGAAACCACATAAATAGACAGATGGTGAGCGTTGCAAAGGGTATAAGTGAGCCTCGTTCAACTCGCTCCGGGATGAGAATGTAGTTAGCTGATAGACCACCAACATCACAACGTGGAAGATATGCTTCTCCATGAGTAGAAAAGTGTCGCACAGACGTTGGCAGGTGAATCGCAGTTCTAGAGCGAAAGTATTACTAGTGGACAGAAGTAAAAAGCAACTACTTTTGATGTCGTCAACGGTCAGAATGATCGTTAAGCAAGCAATCGCCTCCTCCTTTCCGATAGCGCGCCAGTGGAAGGTGGACATGACTTGGCACATTGCAAAGCTCTTCATGTCGTTTGCGCAACATTAACAAGTGGCACTTGACTGTGTAGCACATAGTACCAATGGTCATTCCAGTGCCGAAAGCAATGAGTGATCGCCCAGAGTGTGCATGCACTTGGTTTACATAACTAAGGGAAAACTGTCCCCCGATATGCCCTTCGCGCCTTCAGTGTAAAAAATGGTCCCATATATGTAAGGATACACCGTCTGTGCTCAAAGATAACGCATCACAACGCGAATTTGTCAAACGAAATACTCAACTAGGTAGCTGCATTGTTTACGGTGATCTCGAAGGGAGGACAGAAACTGCGATTTTCAAAAACCCGACCGCATACAGAAACAGTGGGTTCTAAAATTCATTGGTTAAAGAAAGGCTGTACGTCGCTGTAGTGATCACGCATAAGAGGTGGGCGTCTTACACTGACGACAGTAGGAGAGCGACAGTATTCGAAAATCGCTGCATGCGGAGTGATGTGCATGTCTGATGGGAAAAAACCGTGGGCGAAGCTTTGCACCTTGGGGATGCAAATCAAAGCCGGTGTTAATCTGTCTAGAATTGATTGGCACGTTTAGTAGTTGTCACCGATGAGGGCCATGAGGTCTACACACTCCAAGTCAAGAAGTCGTTCACCTGGGAGCGCCTCCACACCTTCCAAGTCTTGTTTTGTGAACTCGGTCTACATGACTTCGTCAATAGCGACAATGAAGAGGAAAGGAGAAAGCGGACATCCTTATCTTATACCGAAGATACTGAAGGGAGGTGACAGCTTACCGAAAGTCCCAACTTTGCCATAGCTACGCGAGTAACGCGCTCGGATAATATTTAAATATATTTTAGGCGCACCTTTCTTTGACAGGCAGTCCCAAAAACCACATCGATCCACCGAATCGAGGGCAGCTTTGATATCGAGGAACACGATAACGGTGGGCCGCCAATATATGTGACGGCGCTCCACCAATCGACACAAAGTGATGTAGCCTCGACCTCGAGAAAATCCAGACTTCACTTCAAAGATCTGGCTTTCACAAGTGCCAGTCAGTCTGTGAAAGATTACAGAGGCAATGGTGGCGATGGGAATCAGACTGATTCCTCTATGGTTGCCGCATTCCGAACGCGAGCCTTCGGAGCGGCTACAGTTAGCTGAGACAGTTTCCTGCTCCCACAGTTTCACTAGTAGTTCGTGTAAATCATCCAAAAGAGCGGGACCACTGAATTTGAATGGGGATAGATAAAGACTATTTGGTCCCTCGGCTTTATTCAAATGCAACGGTCTAATCTCACGTTCGATTTATAAGCGAGAGGGCGAATCCAAAGGGATAGGCCACTCGCCGGTGAGGAAACCAACAATTCCGGCCGATTAAATTGCATGTCAAAGTGCTCAGCCCAACGCTCCAAGCGCTTTGACAAGTTGTGGATAGGCTGTCCACTTTCGTCACGTATAGTTTAACTAACACCAGGTCTCCTGCTGCCCGTTTCCCGTATCAGACGGAATAAATTCTGATGGTTATCAAGGACAGCGGACACCTCCATCTCTGGATGCGCTGTATTTCGATGTACGAATCACAGCTGAACAACTGTGATGAAATGAACAAAACTGACCTGGAATAACTAGAGAAGATTGTGGTCAAAGAGAGGGAGAAAAAGAGTTGAAGCGAAGCCAGGTGCAAGTGCGAGGTCACAAAGACACACGAGAGAGCACTGCGCAAGTGGGAGATCTCCGTTCAACATGAGACACATGAGATCAGAAGCCGAATGCGCGTGGAAGAAAATGGTGATGGTGCACAGATATAACTTTTAAATGATCATGAGGCAAAAAGAGTTGGGCAGGAGCACAATGATGTCACAACGAAAGTAACGCACTTTAGGAGATGTTGATGTGGGTCTGTCATCTTGTAAATGCATTGCGACTGTCGCGATGTCTTGTAGCATGTGACGGTCATCCAAAGGAGTGTACGCGTTGATGTTTTTAGCATGATCCCAAGCCACCTCACCAGAATGAAGAATCTAAAGATACAACCAAGATGACTTTGTAAAAACAAGGAAAAGAAGTATGTACTAGCTGAATAGCATTCGAAAACAGCAAAGCGTTTGTACAACAATGTGGATTGTGAATTAGACAACACGCAAAGAAAGTATTGAAAGATGTTTGCGGAGACTACCATTACCAATGAATTTTATGAAAGACTCACAACGTGTCTCAACTTTTCATGCGGATAAATTGGGTGAAAGTTGGGTAGCATGCTTCGCGACTGCCAGTTAGATGTCATTCGGTGAGTAAGTCAGAGCAAGCCATGTTCGAAATGTGCTAAGTCAAGGGAGTGATCAAAATCTGTCTGAATTCTTGTCGACAGGTCAGGAGTGACGCTCCGCGTTTACATGTGAGTTGTAACTAGAACATCAACGTCTACCAAAGCAAGGTGGGGGAAGTCCAAGAATTGAAGGGTGAAAGTAGGGGGGGAGAAAAGTGAAGTTGGAACGGTACTATAAGGGTAAAAAAACGTAGGAGGGGTATTAGAAGACCGGAAGGCTTGAGCAGTGGCATCCAAACCCTTGCGCAAGGTAGCAGATAGGGAGCCGCTTATTATCCTCCGCAAAGTCCAGCGCATCAAGAAATTGTTTGTAGATGTGTTCATAGTATTGCGTGAGAAGGATACTGTTAGGCTGTCCAGGTCTGGACAGGAGAATGATCAGGTTTCTCAACCAAAGTCTGACTCGAAAACCTGACCACAAGGTAGTGGGTTTCGCAGTGGACTCCAAGAAGTCTGTTCTAAGGAGTATGGAGCCACCGTCACTCCGACCCCCAAGCATGAGCACCGGGAGACTGAGTTTGTCTGGTCTCTAACCATTGACTTTTACTGGTAGCTCAGCTGGCGTGCACCTGTTATGTTCTCATTTCTTTTCTTATGTATCGCGTCACAGTAGGTGTGTTGTCCACCTCTAACTAAGGTATATAAAGAGGATGATTGGATTATAACGTGAGAATACAAATGCCGAAGGTAGTTTAATCACGAGAACCGAGTTCATTTTAGTAAACGTTCCGGGATGGTTCGTTTTCTGGCTTGCATCACTGCACTTCATCACCGGCTTCGCCTACACTTTGATGCTCAAGTTAGATTGTGTAGTACAATTAAACTGCCACTTAACCAAACAACGAATCGGTATCTGTCTGGAAACCGGTGATGAAGTGGGACTGCACGCTCAGTAACCCCGGAGTGCGTACAGCGAAAGAAGCGCGTTCGGTGCTTGCAATCGACAATAAGTAGACTTATTTGTTTCCATTTGTATACGGGACTGGGGAATACTGAAAGACCAAGCTACGGCAGCGAGAGAAAAATACCGATACCTTGAACTCAGTCCGAGTAGAAACACACGTAGTAACTGGGGCTGGGGAAGATTTAGGGGAAACAAAGCGGTCCGAGTCGTCACCGATGGTGCAAGTCAATGGCGAGCCTGCGCCAGCGTCAGTAGATAAAAGTACGCAGTGATCAGTGTGGTCAAGTGGGAACTTCACATTAATGGCAGGCACATCAACAGGAACCTCTTCCTCATCATCAACATCAACGTCGGAAGCGTCGGCCGCAGGAAAATTCAACTGGTCCGGAGAATTCACATCAATCCTGAGAAAAAAGACAAAAGATATGGTATGGTAGAAGGAGAAGAGATGAGGCAAAACGCAAGACAAGTTGCTTTAAAGTTTAACTGTGTTACCTTGCATCACAAGATGACGAAGGAACAAAAAGACGAAGCGGTCGGGAAACAACGAAAAACAACGAAAATTTACGAAACGCATACTCAGAAGGTGCCAGTCGAGGATCTGTCGCGGCAAAAGAGATCGTAGACGATCGCCTGGAGTTCGAAGATAAATGATCTGACTGAACGGCGCGGGCCAAGGCATTCAGGTAGCCGGGCAAATCTGGATCATCGAGAAGACTATGTGGTCGGCAGGCAGTGGGAGGGACTAAACCACTCGCCTTAGTGTCATGTGTAGGAGATTCCCGAACTACACTTGGCGATAATTCTGTCGGTTGGGGAACGGATTGCTTGAGCAGTGGTTCACGAGACGACGAGGTGCTGTTCAGTTCGCTCAAGTGAGTCCACAATTTTGCCAGCAGGGCACAGTCAGCATCCGTAAGGAAATGTTCCGATGAGGCATCTTCGGACTCGGGAGTAGTCGCAGTTCGTTCCACAGCAGATTCTGAACTGCTAAGAACGGTAAGAAAGAACAATGGAGATAAACAAGTAGAAAGCTGGTCGTTGATAAGGATGACAACGTTGCCACCTTAGTCTCATGAGATGAAACGAGCAGATCACCAAATGTTCAGTAAAGAGGAGTGAAATAGGGGCGAAGGAAGGAATGTGTAGCCAAGTAGGACCTTACTTCCTTAGGTTGCCTCAGGAAGGAAAGGAAAAGGTAAGCCAGTAGGAAGGGAGGGTAAAAGGATTAACAACATGCACAGAGGTAATTGGGTGGAGGCTCAGTCGGAAAGCACATCCAAACATCTGCGTGCAACATTTTTTGATCCTCTGCCCGGACAACATCATTCCTACGCCTGATAGGCTCCTACTGCTTACGCACCCAGCTTCCGTCCGGCAGAAAAACAATCAAGGTTCATAATACAACACACTAGATGGAAGCAGCGCAGCTGCCTCACTTATGCGCCAAACTAAAAATCGCCAATCCCAGTGACAGAAAGAACAAATGGAAGTACCGCAAATGAAACCAGTAAAACAAGTGTAGTAAGATTGATTCCAAGATGGAGGGGCCAAAGAATTAGGAAGAAAAGAGCGAGAAATTCGGGAAAAGAAATCCTGGTAACAAGCTTGAAAGCCAGAAGCCATGAGTTGGTAAAACGTGATACGGTCGAAGTGCGCTAGGCCCAGCTTCCTTACCATTCCAAAATGTTAGCAGTCAAAACAAGATCCTTTGCAAAATGATACCATAAGATCTAGAGAACACGATAAGAGTGTCCATCATTGATTACAAGCAAATTAGCTGACCATGGTACATAGACCTTGGATTGCAACCACAAGAAGCAAAGAAATTAACAGCACCCTGAATAGAGAAACAAAGCTTTTCAATAGCTTTGTAAGATTTGTGTCAATCCAGGAGGTGCCTAATTTCACTGGTGTAGCTAGAACTGCTTCAGTTCTCCCGTGGTCTTCAGCTCGGTAGTATTGAAATGGAAGTGGACGACCAAGTTACACGTGCTAATACTAGAGTGGAAATTCTGTTATATGACAGACCAGCGACCGTAACTCGTTACTTGGTTTATCGCAGCCGGAAACAGACGTCCACCATATCCAAAAAAGCGTCAGAAGGCCATTTCGCACCGTGAGAATTAATCGGCAGTGCGCACTGGTCGCTGTCCTGCAGAGTAAAGCTGTGCAGAGGACAGGACTGATTCCTAGAGTTAAGGGTACCATCGCTAAATGCTGAAAGTAGAGAGCGAGATATAAATCTGTGTTGCTCCGTCGTAGTTAGCTCGGGCACCTGCACGGAATCACGCCACTGATCCTATGCGATGGCCGTATATTACAGCTGAACTACATCTTATCCGGGTGCGATACGCTCCTTATAACTGTAGTCCGTCAAGGAATCTCTTAAAAACCGACACCGATTTCGCCTAAACTACTGTCTCCAACAACTTGTTTCAATATTTCACCAAACGATGAGTTGCCAATAGTCGTGTGGTATTAGAAGCTACCACAACAGCAACAAACATAGCAGCAGAACATAAAAAGCAACAAATTGCGAGTACCTGTCATGGTGGTTCACCAAAGTCGCTCTTAGTCCAGTGGCTTGTCGCTGGTTCGCAAAAAAGAATCCATGGGCCAGAACTCAAGAGCTTTCGGTGGATGTGCACTGTCGAAGAGCCTCAATACGGGGAAAGCGCCGTTAAATACCATTCCGCATGTGCGGTGGTTATCTGACCGAATGTCATTGCGAAGAGCCTTCTAAAAGAGACAACAAATTCCCAGTAATCAGTAATCGACCTAGCCCTTTACATGCAATCTAAATTGGTGGCGGCTTGCAAAGATAGTTGTAGTTCTGGGGGCCATCTATGACCTCCGTAGGTTCACAGTATGCATCATAGTGTCTGATGTGCCGTGTTATTTTGCTCTTAGTAATCAGCCATGGCGGTCCGTCGCCATCACCAAAGGCGCAGTGGCTCAGGTTGATAATTTCAACATAGGCGGATCACGAGTTCCCCTCCAGGTGGAGCCGGGAAAAGGTGGGTCGGTGATGAGTCCCAATAGGATGCAAAGTTCGCCAAGCGCTATTTCGGATGTGTGGTGGCTTTCTGACCGAGTTTTGCTGGGACGAAGCTTCCGAAATACACCGAAACCCCTTACTAGTCGCAACTTCAGTGCACTTGGATGACATGGCTCTCTTCAGATAGTAGTAAACGATCGAGAGAGTTGATTAACTGTTTGTCAAACAGCCCTATTTGCATCGGAACTTGGATCACACTCAAAGAGCAAGCTGTTACTGTAATACTGGGAGGAGACGATTAATCCAAGCGGTGGCCAAGCATCCCCGCGAATCAGCCGAGCGATCCAGGCATGCGTCGATCCATGTACGCAGTGGCGGCTTTGTAATCGACTCATTCGAAATACCTACGCCTGTCTGATCGTCCTAATAAAAAAACAAAATCTAAGTAAATCGTCAGCTGTACGTCGTAACGGCGCTGCGCTGCCACGCGACCACCACTAGTCGCGCGACGGCTGAGTATACCGCGAGGACGTCCACCCCTACCGGTGACCGTATGGATGCAAACCAGGCGCGCAGACTACTCGGCCACCGGCCGTTCTGGTCGTCCTAACGCATATTTGGCTCTTTCCCATGTATAATCTTCGATATTTCACAGTACTGTCATCACTATGGCGATGTAAGATAAACCGGCTTAATCCATCACACTTAGTTACTCCAGATCATAATCGAAATAAACGGGAACTGAACTAGAAAAATAACCAAAGGACGGACGCTTAGTGTGTCATCTTGAATTATCAATATCGGGAATGGTGTGAACAAATGCGCCATCTATGGGGCCGATGAAAGTGGGTGGCTTGATGATCATGTTAGGTTAACCTTGAAGAAAGAAGACTTGTGAAAAACAGTAGCAGCAGACGAACACTTCCTCAATGTTCCAACGCCAATGTAGGCAATATACTCTTGTTGGTGCTAGCATTAGAGAGAATGGTCTGTGCACGTCTGCGTTCGCTCAATGAGATCACCTGTGGCTGAATTGTTGAGAAGTATTAAGACTTTTCGGGACATTCTGAAGAGCCTCCGTGCCGCCAGATCCAATCAGCACGCCACTATACAACATACGGAAAAGCGATGACCAGCAGTCGAGTCATTAACATTCGTCAACTAATGATGATAAGAACATATATATCTCTCAAGATCCGAGAAACCGTATCGGCAGCGACACAAATCAATATGTACAGCAGCAACCGCGCTCCTGCATTTGTGCAATATTGGGGCATGAGATTAATATAATAGCGATTTAGTAGATGGTTGATGCGAAAGCCAAGGTTTGGAAACGTGGGTGTTTAGATGTTTTTGAGTCCAACTAGGAATGGTTCATCGAGCGATTTTCCCATCTGAATATAATCACTAGCATCTTCAGAGAAAGATAGCTTGCGAATTTGTCACTAAATTTGAACATTTTCACATGATCTAAGTGCGAATGGCAGTTTATTCTACAGATAGCCATAGTTGACCAGGAAGAAATTAGGGCGCATGATTGTTCTAGCCTTTGGTGTAACCAGCGTACAATATTTGTTACCGTTTGAGTACAGGCAAATCGGAATAGGTCGTTTTATGTAACAGGTTGAAGAGTAATAACGAGTTATGCTTCAATCATCGCATCAAAAATGGTTCTGGTCGAAGTTTCTTGCAACATTTTCGATAATTCACGGCAGAATTCTTATCAAGTAGATGTTAAGAAAACGACCTCTACAGGTGTCTCAAAGCAATTATGTCGCCCGTTCTGATGTGCCGTATAGTATGCAGTAATACTCGAGGATGGGGCGGATGAGTAGATTGATAAGATCAACTCTAACATGGATTGTGTGGATCTTGTTCGATATACTGACCATAGATTGTCTGGCACGTACTACTTGGTACTGGACCTGTTCGGAGAAATTGAAGTTCGACGAGTGACAAATTCCGTGACTACGCATGGACAGTTGTGTAGGAACGTGTTCACTGTTTAGTGTGATAGATCCCTCGCGGATGGAACAGTCTTATGACATGATGCCTGATTTCTTAACTGAGGTTCATCATCAATGAGCGACATCATGCGTCAGGGGTAATATAAGTCATCTTGAATGAACAGTAGTGTTTTGTAAAATTCGTCACTCTTACAGACGAGCTTGATATCGTCCGCGAATAAGCATGGCCGACTATGTTCTGCAGATGTGATGATATCATTGATGTAGAGGAGGAACAGTAAGTGACCGAGCACACTACCTTGGATGACTCCACTTGTGATGGAGCGTGGAGAAAAACAATGATCACCAAAAGTGACTACCTCGTGGCGACCAGTCAGGTATGACGATAGCTAACCTAGTAATGGGTCTTGGATCCCAAAGACTTTTCTCTACTCCGAAGAGATACGAACGCATGACAAAGTGGCGGCATAAGATGAAATTCCGCAGGTGACTGCGGTGTTGGGTTGCAATTATATACAATCGCCCAAGTGTAGAGTAAGAACAGCTGTAGTTCTAGAAGTCAGCTCTGTTGTCTGTTCGTTAGAAAGGTGCATTAGCAGTGGACGAGCCGTGCGACATCGCAGGTGGTAAACAGCGATGGATGTTAGCTGACGCCATCCATAGCTCATTGGTATAGGTTGTGGATTCAACTCCAGCATGAGACAAGGGAAAGCACGAAAAAGTTACCAAGCATTTATCCCAATGTTACTAAGGTTGTACGGTCGTTAAGTAGCCATGACGAGTCTCTAGTAGATTTAGAAAGTCATTTCTGATACACTCCAACAGTAAACGTCTGTCCGAGAAACTTACGTGCCACCTCGAGTGGTGAAGGATCTCAAAGGAAGTGGAAACCTTGGGGGTCAGCCCTATCTCTACATGCTCCTAACGAAAAGGACTCATGTAATATCGCAAGAAATGGCGAGTGATGACCGTTCGTAGCTGTTACTATGGCCCCATGAGCATATGCCACCAACTGGTAAGAGAAAAGCAATATGCAAGAACACACTATGATTCGAGGAAAAAGTGTATCACCGACGAGTTTTAGTAGAAGGAAAGGGGAGTCTGACGTTTTCTTAGATTCAGATTTTGTTCTGTTCTCCGAGCTGAACAGCTTCGTTGCAAACGTTCCATCACTAGTCGTGGTGACTTCTTCAGTGCGTAATAAGCAAACTGAGTCGTTTTGTCGACTCTTACCGTCGACCGAGTGACATTTGAACTTGCTCACTTTGATTCAGGTCCGTGACCATTGCTAATTCGGAGTTCGAGCGCCGCCTCTTTTCCACTTATGTGCCAAATGATCTAAGTAAACTCTTTTTTCGCAGCTGCCGGTATATCGGATCTAAGATCCGATCACCCGAGCTACAGGTATTCCGATTTACTGCTGACAATTATGGGCGTTCAGTGTTCTTAGAGGTTTGGTAACTATCCAGCTTACGCAAAATGATGGAATTTCTACTCGCTACTGACATTTTCGTTCATATATGCTTTGGTTATTGTGCGGACGAAATAACAAGGCATATATAATTTACCGCGTCAGATTTTCGCACATAATCCGGGAGACTCCCCGTATGAAGTGAGATAATAGGGGAAAACGAGTGCTAATTTTTGACAAGGCTAAAAATGCCTCATATCGTGTTCAGGTGCGGTATAGAAAGAAGTCCGTTTGAGGCGCATCCACAGACCACAAGGGAGATTTAATCAGCTCGCATAAAACACAAAAGTAGCAGAGATGGAAAGTCAGCGAAGAGGGACTAACCACGACGGGCGCTTCTGCACAGCCTGTTCCAGCAAAAGTGGGTCAATTGGTTTTGTGAATCCAAATGAATCCAACAGATCGAAAATCGCCTAAGATAGGAGGAGAGATAACCAATTGGCCAAATTAAACTTCCGAAGGACAGATTCAAAGGTAATATTAGATGCATTCTGAAAATATATGGAGTAAACAAGTACAATCATAGTGTAGGGCTATTTTGAAGTACAAGTTGTGTGAATGGAGTGTGACGCGCACTTTCAATGTGGTAGGTCACATGTGTGTGATAAACAAAACTGCGACGTGGCGGATGTGAATCACCAGTGAATAAATTGAATGAGCCTAGCTTATTCGGAAGATAGCAACAACTAAAAGATGTCAGCCATCCACCTCAAAGCATTCCTTTGATCCATTCCCACACTCGCGACACGGCCGAAGACATATACAAATGCTGCGGCACATCAACAAATTAAAGTATATGGATAGCAGCATCTGGTTCCGGATCTGTCTGTCACAGCGGCCTCCTTAGGACAGCCACAGGACGCCTGTGCCTGCAGAGGAAAGATGGGTGGCTTGCGCTGCACCACCTGCACATCCCATATCCAGTGTAAACCCGAAGGAATAAGTCCGGGAAGCATGTCGATGGAAGCCAGGTTTAATCAACGGAGCGGGCCCACACCCACGTAACACGCACAGCAGCATTCCCGTCTAAATAATTTGGGAATAATGCGTACCAGACGTACACAAGGCCAGGAATCCAGGTGAAGGGTAATAGACATGTAGGCGTCTTGTCAACATGCACATCAAGCGTAGCCACACCTGGCATATCCATCAACAGGCAACATCTGAAATCCAAGAGACTCAACGCGTAGCCACACGTACAGACGCACTGCAGTGATGATGTAGCACACGTATGTAACGACCGCATTATCGGCCTGAGTTAATGAATTGAAATGGACCATAAAACAATCGCTGCGCTGACGGTGATTGTCCATTCAGTTAACTCGTCTTCTCCTAAGATGTTGCCTCGGCGTGGACGCGCTGATGGCTTATCAGGTCAGCCTGACTCAGGCGCCACCCTATGTGCTCGATGGGCGCCTGTCGCTTCCGTAGCCGGCGTTCCTTTTTCGCCTGTAGTAGTTATTTCTCATGTACTTGGGCAACCACCCACATGATATGCGCTTGCCATTCGCTATGATCCACTGCCATTGCTTCCCAACACCTAAAATCAACATTAATCCGTGAAAAGCACACTTGCTTATATCCTACTAACGAAATTTAAGTTTTTCTACGTTTCCTTGCGGGCATTTGACCAAAAAACAACTGTTTCGGCAGCAGATATAAGCAGTCCATTGCATACACACCCCTGCGCCAGAGCACCTCTGTGTCTGCAACATGGTCACCCCATCCAATGCGTAGAATCCAATGTGGGCACTGTTGTTGAAAGTAACAGATGTCCTTCCGATAAATAGTCCAGGTTTCAATACCGGGAAGAAGAATAGAGATAACCACCGATTTGTATATCAACAGCATCCTACCAATGATCAGCAGTTATTATTCTGTACCCGATTTCAAATGCGTAGGTCGCTCCCCATCTGGAGGTCCGACGAAAGTATCACTCACGGGTAGCAAAATCGGGAGGTGATTATCAATCTGGATTTGGGGCAGGTACAAGGATTCCGTCTCTGGTGAAGGTTGAAAACGACAAACAGTCTTCCTTGGGTTGTGGCGAGCCCGAACTTAGCTGCTGTCGAAGAGATAGCCGTCGTCATGCGCTGCAACTCATCCGCGCTATGTGCAAACAACGCACAGTCGTCCGCAAAAAGCAACAAACGGATGGTTTTCTCACCGAAACGACGAGTGTTCAACAACCCACCATCGACGCGGTGCGCCACACGGACACAGTAATCGCAAGCAGCATCAAAAGTACACGACATCATTGCATTTAGGTAAATGTTAAATAGAGAAGAGTCTAAGACACATTATCGCTTCCCATTAGAGCAGCAATGTTATGCGATGTTTGTCCACGGAGTTGCAACCTAGCCTGCGTACCACTGTGCAGACATTCTATAATTGTGGATTTTTTGTGAGTAATGTAATGTTCGTACTCGGACAACCAAACGTATCCAACACAAGCCAAAGTGTCTCTCGGTTTATCGTATCAAATGCCTTGCTGAAATCAAGAAACAGCGAGTACGATGACTGGTGTCATTCTAGGCATTTCTCCTGCAGCCGATGCGCCGCGAACACCATACCTATGGTGCTGAAGCCAAGTGGAATCAGCATTACATTTCCGCTAGGTGCGGTTCAAGGACCTGAGCGACGAGGCGGTTATTCAGGGTTCGAGCAATCACCTTTTCCGCACAACTCAGCAAGTGCAGACTCCGATATTTGTTGGCACAATGCTTGTTCCCTTAGCACTTGCACAGTGGTAAGATTCCTCAAGTCAGCTAGCACGTCCGCTTCAAACCACACGCGTTACATCAAGTGATGCACCGCATGTTCCAACGCGGATGCGCCGTGTTTCAACACTTTTGGCGGCATCCCGATCAGTACCGGCACGCTTGGCATTTCGCAGCTCAGCAAGTACTCTCTGCGTCACCAGCAATGACGGTGTGCCGGTAGAACACATCCTCATTTCGTTTTGTTGCATCCCGTGCAACATAGACCAGTCAATCTCTGAATGCTTGTTAAAGATACAAAGTGTTTCCCCACGGTCTGCATTATGTCTGCAGTCTGTGTGCAGACAGGGTCTGAAGTAAGAACTTCAGCGGTTGCAGAGTGGGTCCATGCATCGCCTCCAGGCATTCCGCACATCATCCCATTTGCTTCGTCTTCTCCGTGCACAATGCATTTTGGTGAGTGGGAGCTCTCGCGTTGATCACCAACCCATCTCTGGAAACCGACTCTCCGCCTCGGAGTCCGCAGGCTCATCTACATAGGTAATGGATGATACACTTTTCACCGACACGAAGGCGCAATGGTCGCAATGTTGTCATCAAACCGATCAAGCCGCTTCGAGTTTGCGCGCTTGGTCGTTTCCTCGACCGTCACTTTCACGGATGTGGTGTCGCATCAATCGCAGTTAGACCGGGTACATCCACCAACAAACGCTGTAAAAAAAATGCGACAACACAAGCACACGGGCACAAGTACAGTTCAAAGCAGCGATGGAAACCTCCGATCGGCTGTGGCCTTTTTCACTAGAACTGCTGCAGATTTTTTAATTTTTACGGAATATTCATAACATTTTCTTTGGTTAAACTATTTCCAAGGTAAATACTGCTGTTCTTATTTCTCTGTTGTATGCAAAAAGTAGGAGGTATAGCATAATAGGCGATTCGCTTATTTTGGCCACAAAATCACATATTCAAATGAATTGCCAAAAAAGTTTGATAAAGAGAAAAGATTGGAAAACTGTGTGGCAGCTGTCTTGTCGACAGGATGCCAATCTCGATGATTCTCCCCAGCGACGTGATACCGTTACTTGCGGATGCAGAACCGTTTACTAAAGTGGCACTCGTACGCAGTGTTGCCCTTCTGCAGTCAAACACCTGCGTTTTTGATGATACCATTCTAAAGCAGTTAGATCCCTACAGATATTTGAAAAGCGCGGAAAATATATGAACACTGGTAGATGCATACATATCGTATTGTCTCATCATTAACAGTAACAATAACGTACATGTATAGATATAGCCAACAATGAGTGTGACCAGACATGTTTGAGATGCAGATTGGGTGACGGAAGTTCATCCCTATGTCTATGGCAGCCTTAAGCTGATGAACAATTGTTTTTGAACGCACATAACTGGCTTCATCCGGCTTAGCGCGACCGCCTCAGTAAACCGAAGGAAGCGTTGATTAAGGTGACCCACAATTTCGTACGCTGAGCCCAGCTCTAACCGATGACCCGAGACCAATGGGTGTTTGCCATTTTATTTCACATTGTCGGAATAGACAGATGCTAAAAATGCACCCAGTCTGACCACACAATGCGTATTTTGACCTGACTTGATGCGTCATGTATACACACAATTCTAACTAACGTTCGTCACACGATCACTGAGTCTAAGTTATTCATACGCCTGGCCAGGTTAAACCTCACACGGTTAAGTACGTTCACCGTGCCTGCTCAAGTGAGCTCAACTTACTCTCATCTATACCAATGGAACAAACTCGATGAGGAAGTGGACGAGAAGTGCTACCCTTCGTTAATCGCATCGTCGCTTTACTCCTTATGAAAATGTCCGTGGACACGAGAGGAATACTCACCATAGAAGAGGCCTTCAGGTCACCGAACACACTTTGGCCACGTAACCACGCCAGTGGGTTTGCAGCACTCTCGGAGGAGGCCTGAGCGTCGCCCGTACTCGTCAGACCAGAGCTACATGGCATCTCACTCGGTAATTCCCCATTGGATGATGAGAACTGGGAGGCCCAATCGAGGAATTCGATGTAGGAGTCGTGAAAATGAAACAACTTCTCTAGTATCCTTTGGCTGAATGATATAAAGAAAGAAAGCTATAAATTACATGACCGTTTGACGCAAAATGGATTAATTTGGGGAGATTAGTAAGACAGTAAGTCTCTGGGGCCTATGACAGTTTTTTGACGGTGAACCTAGATACAACCAGTGAGTGCACGTTTAAATGGCATTCGCATCAAACCGGTTCGGGTGAGTAAGGTAACTATGACCCGGACAGTGAAGTGCGCTGGACCCAGTTGGCACTAATCGTGTCACCAGAACAACGTTACTTGCTGATGATGAGGAAAACGAGAAAGTACGCAAGCTGGATACAAATAGAATAAACAAAAAAATAAATAGATGGTTTCATTTTCTATGAAACGAGGGAGTTTCGATGTACGGAGACAAACCACGGTGAAATGCAGTATGACAGGTGCTCGCTTGTCGTCCCCTGATTTGGTATGTGCTTCATTCTTTCAAAGTGCCTTGCAAAACCACCAGTTGCCTATTGGGCCTTTGGTCCTCGAAGAGGTGAAATCGAAGGTAACCGAACAAATGATCTAACTTGGATGCCGTATTGGTAGTTACAGGTGTAGGAGTTTTGAAGTTACTTCAGGTACTGCAGCAACTAGAAAAGCCTTCCTAAATCAGGGACATCCGTGGCTCTAGAAGGGGATGTCTCACATTCGTAAGGGTCACAGTGAGGATTGTTCTCGGTACAGTGGTCCGTAACGAATCCAAAGATTGGACGATTGTCGATTGCGAAGCATAACTCCGATTGATGTGAATTAGCGCGTCCGTGACAATGAGATACGCAGGTATGAACTGGGCGGTGATGAACAAGTCATGCCGTACTGCGTTAGCCCACCCACTGAGGAGAACTCTGTTGCGTTTACCTGATCTAGAAGACTGTAGCGTTTGGTGGGAGAAATTGTCAGATTGGAAGCAGGAAACGAGAGTAATGAAGACTAGAATGAAAGCAGCTTATCCGTAGCTCGTTCCAGCTTGGAAGCAGTGAGACCCACAATGTCCTTATATTGAGATATCGTCAAATATGGCTTGCGATCTGCTTCGGGGGTGCGTATGCAATTGAAATGGTCATGACGAGTCACAGTTGAATGTGACCGTATGAGGTTAAAATATTTGGAGCACGTGAAATCGCTCCTCACACCAGTATACCGCATTAACGGAGCCATTACAACAGTACAACGAAGTACCGATGTGCTACCGTCCCTTGCTGGTAAAATAAAGACAATGGACGCAAATGAAGACCTCTAAAGCGACGTGATAAATACAACAAAGAGAAACGCCGGTGCCCCAAATGGGAATCGGATAGCAACTAACGTAAAGGAACGGACAATATATCTCACTTCTTCATTGCGAGAACAGGCCGCAAAGGGTCATCGGAACTCTTGGGCACTTGTACAATGGGTTGCAGGAAGGCGGCACCAGATGCAACAATGCAGCGAATAAGCCACACGCTCTGTTTTAACTGACTCACAGCATCGGGGCGAGAGGAGGTGGACGACAGCAGAGTAGACGCATGCTCCAGTTCTCTTATCAGTTCACAACGCATCTTAGCAATGCCTGACAAGAAAGAAGGCTGACAAGAAAAAGTAGGAAGGAGGAGGTGAAGCGTACACAAAACTGGATAGGCACAATAAGGTAAGTGAAAAAGATCGGTACTGAACTCATTGGACATGCGCTCTGCAACCGCTCTGATTAACGTGCCTAGGAGGAAATGGGAGAGAAAGGTATAATGGGTCGATTAAAAACGCACCAGCAGTACACCTGCCCCCCAATGCCATGCAAATCTACAAGCGATTGTAGGCGGGCTGGGATACTTCCACGGGGACCGAGACTCAGTCGGAAAGAGGACTAGAATCCAGAGCGGAGAGGCTGCAGGGTACAGCAGTGAAAAATTGAGGTAAAACAAGTAACCGAGTGATGCGACAAGTAACCGAGTTTGGTCGATTCAAGCTAGTGGAGAACAACTTCAATGAACACGAGTGGTCTATAATACTGGTTCAGACAAAACAAGAAGCTGAATGAAATAAGTGAAAAAGTTTGGTATACTATGTAAGATTTGCAAATGCTATATTACCACAAGCAGACGTGAGCAGTAAATTAGGACTGATTTCCCAGTGATAACAGCGTTTGTTGCAGTGAGGCTGGCTAACCGAACAACCTCGTGGTGACAGCTGGGTGGTTCGAGTTTAACCCGTTCCAGCAAATAGTTCGGCGGCAGTGTTCCAGGACGTGGTGGGTTTTCGCCTAGCAAGCGCTCTCCCTATAAAAAACCACAAATATCTGTTTAACAACACTGTGACGTGGAGGACGTGAGTCGCCACGAACTAAAGTCACTGCCCCGTGGATATCCGGATATTGCTATCCAACCCACGGACCTCGTTCGTTTATTCGCACATTTCTGACGATATCAAAAAATCAAAAAGACAACAACACACAATCACAAGCTGCACAGCTGCATACACAACAATTACACAGGTATATACACCCACATACATTCAGTAACCTAAATAAAACGTTTATTTTTGACCACACTTTGTTATGTTAACATGATCATGCATGTGCCTCGCGTTTTCGAGAATAAAAAGTTTATTTATTCATTTATTTTTCTGAGGGAGTCTGAGTCGGTTTAATTAGAATTCATCGGAAGGAGCAGCGCTCCGACAGCTAGGTGCCGTTGTGATGCGCAGAAAGAAATACAAGCAGACAAACCAATTTCGGATAAAAATGTCAGTAACATCCATAAATCAGGGTAAAACTTACCAATTGCACAGGCTTATTGCGCTTGAACAGGGATGTTAGACCAGTGAAACGTTTGGTTAGCTTAGAAGTGCGGCGTGTGGCTTTCGATGTAAATTTTTTACTAGATTTTGCCAGTGAATCGGAGGAGCCGTGTGCCACACTGATTTTGCCGCGTATGGCGTTGTCTGTGGTGAGCTGTGACAATGGGGGCTTAGTTTGGCCGTCTGTCTCTTCGCTCCGCTGTCGCCGTCTCATCCGCAAGGAATCCGAATCGTCGATGGGTGGGGACGATTTAAGAGGGTACTAGGCTCCGAATATAGCCTGAATGAGATGACAAAGAAAGTGTGCACAAAGGTTTCGTTGGGCTAAAAGAAGAGAAGTCGGTACTACAATAGTAATCCGATTAGGCGAGGCGACAGGTGACAATTAATGACAGTAGCTTTGCAACTACCATCACTAGGTCGATACCGCTGGGTCTCAAATCAAACATAGGATATAACGGTGATACGAAAACGATGAAGGTATCCTCATAAGTCGAGCATACTCTATTGGTTTAACGAAAATTAATCTTATGTCGTGGGAAGAATGAGACTGGAAAGAACGCTGGTCACTTGGCCCAATGAATAACGATAAGAAAAGGGTCAAAAGTTGTAACTGGTAATACATACATTAGTGATTCTTTACTATGCCAAGATGAACTCTGAGACTTCTAACGGGTTGCGGTTGAATTGAACCACAATGCTATGCCGTGGCAAGCAAAGCTCCATGTTGAAACGTTACAGTAAGTCAGCATTTACATATTCCTTCAGATGGGCCCAAGGTATAAGATCAGTTTTGAACTCAAAACATCTACCTTTGTTAAACCGGGTGTTTCGCATACAGTGACAAGCGCACTGTAGGCAGGCATAGAACGCTGCCCGGCAACGCTTCAAGCTGTCAACGGCTGGTGAAAACGCGTAAAAAAGTGATTGCGCTGATGCGTGCTACTCTCCCTGGACGGAATTAAAAATATCAGATCCACTTGAACCCGGTGTTATTGAGAGGACAATAGCGCTCGAGTGCCAGGTATATCGCATCCGACAGGAAGATTTTACGCTTAGTGCTTGTAACTATACAGATTGATTTTTATAAAAAAAATCCGCATGGTACTTTGTATTGTATTCCGCGATTCTATCTAGTGCCGTTAAAATGAGTAGATGACGCAGTTAGGCCCCCGGTGGATAGCTGACTAGTTGTGCTGCAGCTTGGTGGATCTTGTTGCGTCAGTCTCCAAAGCGCCAAACTAGGAGCAAAGCTAGTGCGCTGGGAAATGAGCTGCTGTTTATATGGAGCATGAATGGATATGATGATCCTTCACCGTTAATATGGTCTGCAATCGGCTAGACCCAGGCATCGTTCGTCGCTGCTCTACAAAACAAATTGCATTGGCCATCTTCAGCTATCAACGGAAATCAATCGGGGGATGAATTCGTGGCGAGCTGATATATATGCGTAAGAACAGTAGGCATGCGCCTGAAAATTGCCAGTCACGAAGTACCGCTATCTACGTTCCTTCTGGAAAGGTGATACTGTTTAGCGATCTGCCGATAAGCCTAGCTTACGTGGACAAGCAGAAATACAAAGCAGATAGAATGACTCAGTGTATGATATGGCACGGGATGCACCTAGCATTGTCAAAGTAAAACCGAGGCTGGAATGGCATGGAGCACGTTTTAAGCGTCGGAAGGGAACCATCAATTCGCGTACTTCGGTGGGGCTAAACCAATCTAGTGGTAGTACGACCGAGGCGTTTGATGCACAGAGTAAGACCAAGGCGAACTAAATGGTCTTTTCAAGCGATAACGAGCAAACTGCACAGTGCGGCGCAACCAGTGCTGTTGTATGGATGAAACATAGTAACTACGTCGTCGTCGTCGTACCGATGAAACAAACAACTAGGAAACGTAAAAACATGCCAATTGGCTTTTAGTGGCAATACCCTTAGTGTCGCACATAATCGTCCCTTGTAATCGAAATACGGCGTAGAGGTTGCGGAGATAACCAAGCTAGATGCCCTGGTGAAAGTGTGTGCAGCAGAAGCGATGAATACATCTCCAAAAGGCTACGCAGGCGGCAGAATCAAACAAACCGAGAAGCAGAGTAGACCAAATGCACAAAATGCGTTTGCCGAACGTTGACCACCAAGTCAATAGCGATGAGTTGTTCAAGGTCCCTAGGTGCAATCGGAAGCCTCACATACTCAGGCTACCAAGGATATCGACCCACAACAGCATTCGTTCTGTGCGTAAAAAGACAGATTGCGAGTCTGAAATTATCATGGCAGTATGAAGCGCATCAAGTTCCCACCGGCCAGCTACAAATCATTCTCACATAAAACTCTGTATTCGTAGAAGAGAATGGGTTGTATGTTTAATTGGTGATAATGTCGGGAAATGGAGGGGTATTTCACAGGCTACTTATTCCGACTGGTTTATTTGTAATCACAGAGAGAACCACTTGTTTTAGACATAACATTTAGGTAGTTCACTCTGTTTGGTCATATTCCTTTTTTGCTTGGAGGATCATTCTGGAGTACTCGTTGTGTGATTGATTGGACTGCAACGCGCAATCTCGACGCAGACGGTGATTTGCATTAAAGCGAACCCTGGTATGACCGTAGCTGAAGTAGATGGAAATTGTTCCGAATGTTGATCGTCGTGTCCCATCGGCTAAAGAGGTAGTCGTCCCAACTAACCCCAATGCTCCCGGGTTCGAGGCCTGTTATCGCTACCGGATGAGATCAAATAAGGTCGAAACGCGTTATGTGCTGCGTTTTCGGGTGGTCAACATCGAAATTAACTCAGCCACGTTCGTTTTCTGGTCCATGAAGCCAGTTGCATGGATGCCAGCAATTTGACCAAAATCTCGTTTGATATCAGTAGATTAGCCAATGCGTATCGAGGACGGATTGGACAGACGTATGTGTCTGTCTGCCAAAGCGAACGAGCAGTGTGGGCGTTTAGCAGTAGCTTTTTTAACTGTAGTTTTCGCTGCGACAGAATGATGCCGCTGTGGTGATGCTATTTCTGTCACGCGACGAATAATGATCGCACAGTCGGTATCGGTGTGTGTACACAAAGACCTACGCAGGCTGTCTATATTCCTGTAAATGCACATTCAGTCGAATACAAAGACTATAAATAGCACAATCAAACCGAGTTCACCGAGCTGTGCCCTAACAGCTAACTCACGGGTCAAGATCACCTAGGCGACTGGGGATTCAGTGAAAACGTTTCAGTTTGTTCAGCGATGAAGACGAGTGACAAAATCGTGCAAGACCATAATGGATTGGTGTTTTTTCTTGTAGTGTAGCTTGGTATATCTTATGGGTTTACAACTGCCGCAATCAATACGTACGGGATTAGTAGTATCGTCCGTCAAGTAGTTAGCAACAAATAGCCAAAAGTTCAACAGGCTGAAGGTTCACGCATCATTCCGACCTACTGGACATTCCAGGTTGCGTCTTTGGTTATCTTCGAGCCAATTTCTTTCAGAGATTGCGCATTGCAATCCAATTACACAACGTGTACTTCAAAATGGTCCTCCAATCAGTCATAAACCGTTGTGCCAAGTGTTGCCCGGTAGCAAAAAGGGTAGTGGTTTCGGCTAATATTCCAACGGTCGCGAGTTCGAGGCCTGCGATCTCCACCTGATGTGATCAAATGAGATCGAAAAGCGTCGTGGTTGTGCACTGTCTTCCGCCGGGCAACATCTAGTTTTCCTCCGCTATGGATACGATTGACTGAGAAATGGTACAGACAGCTTTGGTAAAGAGGATGCGTGAAAATACCTGTGATTGATTGAAGTCACAGGTGCGTTGTTCAGATCGGGTACGAATCTATGTGGGACTGCAAACAAACCCTCAATTTAAAGGTCCCAGGTCAAGTTAAATAGCATACCAGCACGCCGAATTAGTGCCCCGCTACGATGTAACAGCAAGCGACTGCACGCGGACCGGAACAAGGCCGGGATGCCCAACCCAACGTTGGGGCACGCACTAGAACCGGGGGCACAGAGTTTCCAAGACAAATATCTTAAACACCACACCACGTAGTCCTGTGCTAGGGGTGATGTTGAAGTTAAATGTTAAAGATAGGAACCAACACGAAAAACTGCCAGTGTTTGGCACACACAGAATCCCATCACCAGAGCTGTCTGTGTCTGCTGCGTAGATTTTTTTCCCCTATAACACCCAAAACACCGGCCCTAGTCAAATAACCCACCCTAATGACGCGTCTATTCGTCAGTCAAACGATGGGTTAAGTTTCGCACCGGAAATTCAGACCTCCGTGCTCTGTCATGCAAATCGTCAGGTTGTATGAACCCGAAAATTCCACTATTCTGCGCGCATTCTCCTAGAGGCTGTGTGGCGCACATTGCTTCGGTATCCAAATTTTGTGCAGATATATTTGCGGCTCCCAAGCGTCCTTCTTCTGCCGGGGCGTTGGTATGTTCCGCTGTTGGTCCGCTAGCGTCCATAATACTGATTACTGATGCCGTGGTATTTCCTTTGGCCCACCACAATATGACGCTCACCCTAGTACTGCATCACATCGAAGTGATGTGTCATGTGTCCCAAACTTAAGTGGAATGGTAACGAGTAAAGCACCACTTGGCTCAGATCTACTGCAACCGGGTATTTTAGTCAGGGATCCGTCGGGGTAAATTTGATAGCAACTGGATTATACGGAAGTCTAGAACGTAGTTCATTAGAATTAGTTTAGTACAGCTGAACAACTAAGAATAGCGTCTAGAAGTGTGGTGAAAAAGCAGTCTTCACCTGCGGTGTCCAAAATAAAAATGAAAGGAGTAAAAGATCGCTGAAATGAAAGAAGGGAAAATATTATTCGAGGATTGGATAAGAAAGTAAAAACGTTATATCCGGAGAAGAAATAAAGTCATCACTTCCTGGTGACAACGCCGTATTCCATGAGGTATCTAACGACTGATGCGGCATATCCCTAAGCCCGCATACTGAGACAAGCACAACCCACATCAGTCCGTTCGCATACAACGCACACTGAGGCATCCGACAGTCAGCCAAGTAAAGAACAATTGTTGTGTGATTCCTCTAGCTGGGCAGTTTGATTTCAGATGCTTCGTTGTTAGTTGAGGTATTAGCCTCAGTAGAGAAGAGTTGGTTGGATTCCCTGCCACGCGCAATTAGTCCGCCAGTTCTTTTGGATGATAGAGTCACTTCAACTGGCAACAAAACG